TTAAGTAGAAATACTTATAGCTTTATGGCCTTCTGGCCACATAGCCTGCAAGGGTCTGAAGAAGAGCCAACCCTTTTTAACACTGATGCTGTCTGGTTCTCCTGCTTGGACTGGCATCTGATCCCACTGCTGTCCTCATTCAGTTCTGTATATGTGCATGTGCTGTTATTTTAGGTGTCCTCTCTTTACAGTCAAGCACTTCATAAACATTCCTGAGGAAGAATCTGAGGTCTTGAACCCTGCAAAATTCCTGGTAAAGACTGATCTCTGGGGCCAGGTCCACAAGCCTAATGACTTGCTAATTGGCAGCATCTATGCCATATGCATCCCACAAGGGGACTCATAAATCGGTCTCAAATTTAGAATAGTGGGGGCAGGTGTTGCCATTTTGCATCTTGGAGAGTTGTGTGTCTCTCTCAGCTCATTGTTATGGAGCAAAACTGCGATTCAGGCCTGGTTTTGGCAGCAATCAATACCACCGTCAGCATTTAAAAAAATAAATTACAAAAAATCTGCCCCTAGCCTCTAGCTTCTTTGTCTGGGGTTACCTGTCTACTCCCTGGGTGCATGATGAAGCACGAACACATTATCGTGAATAATTTGGGAACTCATAAAATTGAGATCATAAAAAACACGCACACTTCAGAAATTTGACCTTTTGCCTTACATCTCGCAAACTAAAACTATAGAGAGTGTAGTGGTATTCTTTTCAGATTTGTGATTCTTTCGAGATGAGACACATATTATGTCCCATCTTTAAGGGATAATATGGTGCCACAGGATGAGCAGGGCTTCAGAGGGCTGTAGATTTGGAACCCTCTACTACACAGCTCCTTTCCAGTGGGCCTGTGGATAGGGGTGAGGGAATATTCACAGGCCATCCAGCAAGGTCACTGCCTAAACCAAACTTATCAGGTCACCCTGACCAAATCCAGAAAGCTCAGAAGCAGTTCTGAACATTTATTCAGCAAAGACCTCAGATACTGGCTAGGTTCTGTCACAGAAGAAACAGAGGGCAGCACTGCTCATCCACAAAAAAAAATCCACAACGGTCTCACATTAAAGAAAAGTAGCTATGTGCAATGTAAGCTTCCCCACACTCAAAGACTAATAATATTTTGAGGAAAGTCCTCAAGACTTAAACATCTGAAAAAGACAAGAGCCTAGGGAATCTAGGGAAAACCATGTCACAGTTCACATTTGAGATGCCTATATACTAAATCCAGTCAACTATGTTGGTCTTCATTTTTTTTCCCTAAGAAGTCCCACTTCTGAAGATGGGAAAAGAAGGTGATGGTGGAGGTTATTGAATTTCCGAAGTGTGAGGCTATTTGAACCTTCATTTGAGGCCCCGGTGGGGCCACTCCCTTAGGGAGATGCACTTGGATGTTTCCCTTACACTTGCCAATGCATACTTAGAACATTTTGCCAAGAAGTACTATCAGTGCTTGCTTCTTGAAGGTTTTTAATTACATTTCTTGAATTTTATAATCTTGAAATAGAAATTCCTGCATCAAGTACAAAGAATAGTGCATCATCTTAAAGTCACAACTCCTGTATGCTGTTTTCTGAAAATGTCGTATAAATGACATTTCAAGGTTAGACATCATTGATGTGGATCAAATGTCAGCATTTATTAGAGGGAAGAAAGTCAAACCAGATGTAATGGGAATCCTCATCTGCTTCCACTAAAAGTGAAACAGAATTGAGTTTTGATGTTAATTGGAATAGCAGCCTGTGAACCATATTTCAGTTTTTTGAAACAATGGTAAAATCCTAAATTTGAGGTCTGGATAATTTGATATCTGAATTCTGCTTCTTCTCTCACAATTGCACACCCAGTGAAGACGAGTTCAATGTTCTTAACATATATATATATATGACTGTGCTTTTGCAAGAAGTCTGTAAGTTTTGTTTCTTTGTTTCTGTGAGGACTATTTGATTTTGGATAAATGCATGTTATGTTTGATAAACTTTGTCTCTAAAGTCTACTGCTTTCCTGAAAGCAATAACACATAACAGTCCCTTTCTTTCCAGTTTGTAATACTTACTACCACATTTTAATGTATGATTAGATCCCGTGGAGTCTTTTTAAAAATCCAGACTAACAAAATTTTTTTTAAAAAAAAATTACTGTGGACACGAATTTGGGTTACATTAGATTCATTTATCGTTGCAAGTTGCCTTCAAAGTAGTCCAACACACAATCTTTTCCATTTCCTTTTACAGGTCCTCTTGCTTCCCTGCTCCACCAAAGGTCTCTTAATATGGCCGCTCTCAGGACCTTTTTTCCACCCCTTTTCAGCTGAGTAAGGCTTGATATTGGGTGGGACTTGGGTGTAACCTAACTGGTATTCTACTACAATACAGGCACAAACACTTCTCTGTGACTCATTAGCTGGCACCTAAAACTTTGATCCTGTGTACACACAGCATCCCCTTTCTTGACTTGAAACTCAATGACCATGAGGTAGGGTTTTTCGGAGTCCACCAGGATTGCTAACCCTAGTAGAAGATCTGATTATCTTTAGCTGAGAGACCACAGGCATTCAGGGACATCTTCTGCAGAAACAGTGACATTGTTATCAAGAGCAGATCTACGGAATACAGAGCCAAGACTAGAGCTCGTGTTGAAGTAGATTATAATAAAGAACCACAGAAAAAAAAACAAACAAAAAGACCAACCCCCCAAAGCAAACAACAGTCTTCACTCTCCTGTTGTTTGTTTCAAAAGATGAGTAGGCTGGTTTTGTACTTTCAATTATATTATAACATAACGCAAAACTCCCGTGAGTTCTCTTTTTAATCTTTTTTACATCTTTCTCCCTTTTTCGCAAGCTCATCTGCTCTTTTCCTCTAACTATTGTCTTTGCCCAAATACAGAAAAAGTCTGCGTAGCAGGCAGCCTCTTGCCTTCCCACGCTCTAGCCTTTCTCACTTCCCAAGACTGCTCTGCCTTAATCTGCTTTGCATTTCTAGATAGATGAGAGCCAGGTCCTGCTCAGCTGAACAACTCCAGATGCTTTGTAGAAAGTGGGATGCTGCTGCCCATGCTTTGTCAAGCCACACTAGCAGCCAGCTCCTCACTGGCACCTTCACCCTACGGTAGGTGGTGTTTCCCACTGCTTGCAGCAAATTCACTGGGACTTAGAAGCTGCTGCTTCCAGAGGTGCAAGCAAGATACCGAGGGTTCCCAAGCTGGATGGAAATATCTGGTAAAGTTTGCAGAGTCCATTCTTGAGCCTGAATGTCAAGTGACACTCATAGATAGAAGCTGTTTTCTAAGTGAAATCACTTGAAAAGCCTAGTTGCACACAGGAGTATGGATATTTTAATAAAAACAGGTGACAGAGATCACAAGGGTGAAGGGAAAGCTCGATGAAACATTTCACGCTGCCTGCATGGTAAAGGGATGTGTGTATGCTGTTCCTGCTAGAAAAGAAGCTAACATCACATAAATCCAACATTTTCTTTTGCTTGCTTTAAATCAATGGGCTTGTGGTGCTATTCCTTAGAGTCAACAACATGCCAGGAAAAACTCTGTTTCCAAGCTGACTGCCCTTTCTCAGAACTGCCTGTAAATGCCCGGGAGGATGGAAAGTGAGCTGCAGGGCTGCAGAGGTGCTTAAGGGAGGAGTTTGCCCACATAAGAGAACTGCAGAATTTGAAGCATGGAGAGACCTTCAGTTTTCCCTGAGTACTAAAGGTAATTCGTTTAATGAGAAAAGCAATATCCTAAACCAAACTATCTAATCATTTTATGTCTTCTCCTCTCCCAGTCATTTTTAATATAAAGATGGAGAATAGATGCATAATGTATCCTTACCCTGATGCTTCTTGCTTTAATGCTAGATTAAAATATTGTTCAAAGGAAAGAAGAAAATATATGTCGTTTCTTGACTGAAAAGGACCTGGGGATGTTGGCTGACAGCCAGCTGCACATGGGCCAGCAAGCAGTGTGCCCAGGTGGCCAAGAAGGCCAACAGCATCCTGGCCTGTATCAGCAATAGTGTGGTCAGCCGGACCAGGGAAGCGAATATCACCCTGTACTCGTCACTGGTGAGGCCACACCTCAAATTCTGTGTTCAGTTTTGTGCCCCTCACTCAAGGAAAGAGACCGAAGTGCCAGAGCATGTCCAAAGAAGGGCAATGAACCTGGTGAATGGTCTTAAGAACAGTGAGGTGCGGCTGAGGGAACTGGGGTTGTTTAGCCTGGAGAGAAGGAGGCTGAGAGGAAACCTCATTGCTCTCTACAACCACCTGAAAGTAGGCTGTAGTGAAGTGGGGAACTGTCTTTCTCCCAAGTAACAAACAACAGGAGAAGAGGAAACGATCTCAAGTTGTGCCAGGGGAGGTTTAGACTGGATATTAGGAAAAATTTCTTTACAGAAAGAGTTGTCAAACACTGGAACAGGCTGCCCATGGAAGTGGTTGAGTGACCATCCCTCGAGGTATTTAAAAGATGTGTAGATGTGGTGCTTAGGGACATGGTTTAGTGGTGGACTTGGCATTGCTAGGTTAATGTTTGGACTCAATGATCTTAAAGATCTTTATCAGCCTAAATAATTCTATGATTCTATTTTATGATTCTATGATTTTGGCTTCCTATTTCTATGGATTTATACAAAAGAGAAATGTCTTTCTTAATCTAAGTGGTTAAAGCAAAGATATTGCTGAAATGATCTGAAGCAGTACACAGTGGCACTGATTTACCTGGACCATTACCAGAATTACAATCTTCACATTTTTAGATCTTGGAATAAAATCCTACTTCTTATCTCTGCCAATATGTGTCTGGCATATTTTTGTCCTGTGCCTAGCTGTGTCTAGCTGTCACTATCAGCTTCGTTTATCAAGCACTTAAGTGTTCTACAAATGAAAAAAAAAAAAGCAGAGTATAATAGCTAGTTATTTATCTAATTAACAGTATACTAGATCAGTTACAGAAAAAAATACAATGCTTATTGAACTGAAGGAACTGTAAACCATTAACCACTTACTTCTTTCACGAACCACTGACAGAAGGCAGGGCCAATCCACTCTCTTGCATGAATCCCACAGTCCATCCAGACAGCCTTCTTGTAGGGCCGTGATCTTTTACCTAACTTCAAGTGTGAATATTCATAGAAATATCAATAGATCTCATGAGAGTAGTGAAACACAAATAATTGAACATCAGGAACACTAAACCATTTTCAATTTCCTAGTATAAAGGAACATAAATTTATTGTTTCCAGAGGCATGGCCAAGATAATGATATGCAGTATGCCAAGATAATGAAGATGATCTATGGGAAAGAAAAAAGAATTTAAAGGAAAAGTGAGATCTGTCAATTCTTTTTTTATGAGGAACAATCACATAGATGCTACAGGAATAGCTTGATGCAGAATCAAATTTTCAGAACTCTGCAACAGCAGATGAAAGTACAGTCAAAGTAAATTTTTTTTGTGTGTCTTGCTGACAGAATTTAATTCATGGTCCTAATAATGTGATTTGAGAGCACACAGCCCTGGATTTTTGTCAGTAGCTCAAGAGGAAGCTTATGTGGCATGTGCTGAGAAAGGCACCAGAGTACTCTGGGGTGTCTCTCTAGCACAACTGCTTTCCAAGTTGTCTATAAACACAGTATTTTCCAATTCCCTTAAACCCAAATCCTCCTAATTAAATTTGTCCTGCAATCCATCTCCATGTATATCCAATTCAAGTGAATAAGATTTGGCTTTTAGTTTTTCAGCTTTTTTTTTTTTTGTGTTCACTAAAGATAACCATCAGAGAGATACTTTTATCTTAGTAACTCATCCCTAGGAAACACTGTTAAGCTGTGTCTCTGGTGTACACGCTACAACCAAAGTAATAAAGTCTCTGTCACCAATTCCAGATTTTAATCTGAGTAATAACTATTTATTCTTTACCTTGAGTACAAACAGTGGCCTCCCTTCATAGGATTTTCCAACAGAGAACATGTGAACAAGATCTGAATGAGTTTTATTCAGATCATACATCCAATCCTGGATCTGGAAACACAGGAATAAATTGTTGCTTCAATCTTTACATTTCATGGGAAGCAAATGTAACACATTTGACAGAAATGGGGATCAGTCTCTTCAACCAAGTAACAAGTGATAGGATAAGAGGAAACGGCCTCAAATTGTGCCAGGGGTGGCTTAGCTTGACTATTAGGAAAAATTTCTTTACAAAGGATTATCAGGCATTGGAATGGGTTGCCCAGGGCAGCAGTGGAGTCCCCATCCCTGGAAGTATTTTTAAGAGCTGTGTAGACATAGTGCTTAGGGATATGGTTTAGCTGAGGACTTGTCGGCGTTAGGTTGGTGGTTGAACTCAATGATCTTAAAGGTATTTTCCAACCTAGGTGATTTTGTAATTCTGTGACATTTGTTAATCTCATCTCTTATTCCTCTCTGGTTTTGGATTTTCCTGTAGTTTATATTTTGTCTTTATTTGTTTGTTTCTGTTTTCACACTTGAACTGTCCTTGGGCTCTCACAGCCCTACCTCCAGAGGCTGGATGCAGCCTTCAGCCACATGGGATTTTTTCCACAATTCGTTCTTGGATACTACTGGAATGCACTAGCTGTCCATCAAAAATCTTGGTACAGGACTAATCTGCCATTCTTACTAAATATTAATGGAATAAAGAAAGAAGGTCCCCAAATCAGCCTGCCAGGACACAGAATGGCAAACAGACTGAACTGCAGGATTCAGTGTTATTCGTTTCACGGGCACCAGATTCTCGTTGAGGTGCAGCACCCTCCATGCTCAGCTCAGTGACTTTCTTTTGGACAGTCTGAAACTATGTATGTGGACACACTAAAATCAACAGAAATCATTTACCCAGCTGTCATCCAGGATAGTATCCCTCAAGCATGAATTTGTATCTAAGTCATTTTAAGTCTTTGGGTCTCTTGTGCAAATACTTAAGCAGTTGCTCATACTGCTTATGTAAATGACTAAGTGAGACTAATCATTCACTGAAATCTCTTATTCCATCAGAGTAAAAGACCTACTTTAAAAACAAAACCCAGAAGCTATCAAAGAGAGTAGCATGTAAAGATAAGCCTTGAATACAACTATTAAATATATATATATTTTTCAAGAAGCTATGTATTTCTGAAGAAGAAATATTTAGAACACTTAGAAGATGAACAGGCAACGCTAACTCATAGACAGAGTAAAATCTTAGCCTTATTAAAAACAACAGTTTAGCAAATAAGAGGAACAATATGAATTTTCACATACTTCTTCTAGGGAGTGATACACTTCATAGTTATACTCAGAGAGGGACCTTCGATTCCTATATGACCTCTGTCCAGTTTGGTTTTCTACTGCTTTCTGCAGGTCTGATATGAGAATCCTAGGTAAAAAAAGATAGTGGTATTACTGAAAAACTAGTAGAACACACAGGCTAAAGCATAAAACTAATCATATTAAGAAGCAATATAGCAGGAGTTAAACCATCCTGACGTTATATCACCTGTTATATTTTGACAATAGAGTGCTTCAAGCTTATTTGAATGTATGCTGCCAAATAAATACTCCAGCTGCTTTGAAACAAAAAACACAATGAGCTCATTAAGGCAGTAAAACAGAATGATGTAAATAATGTAGCCAATGTGAAGAAAAAGCCACTTTCGTTTGTTTATGGAACAGCATTTGCTGTCTCCTTTTATAATCTAGTTATATTATGTGATAATGGATGTTCCAAAGTTGATTTCAAAATCATAAAAAATATTTTTAGGCTTAGAAAAACATGCACACACTTTCAGGAGTTATTGTACTGGCACAGAACACTACATACACCTACCACTTTTAGAGCCAAAACAAAAAAAGAATTTGGCAGCATTATCATTCTGTCTGAAACACAACAAACAAAGAAAAAACCTTAAGTGTGGTTTGTATTATCTACTCTGCAACAGTAATTTGCCAGTTATTTTAAAATACCTCAGGAAAAGCATGAATCAATACTAAGCGGAAATTAAACAGGCTTGCATAAAAAGTGAGAGGTTCTTTGCATTACAACCAAAATGCAGAAGCAGTGGTATAAGCGGAAAGCTTTCCTATTTCATGGCAAAATCAAATAAGGATACAAGTATAAAAAGCTAATACAGAAATAGCTAAAAAGAATTATATTGAAGAAGTTGAAGTAGCTATCCTTTCCATGACACAGTGGTAGGAGATGGGAATATTGCCAGCGACATCAGTGACAACATCCCTGTAAAAGTGGGAGTCACCCTTGTGTATCACCTTCTCCTGAAGCATGGCAACATGTAATGACCACACCACTAATTCATCATTCCTGTAAAATGACAGTCACATTCAACCTTGTAAAGTTTCATAGGCACTGGCTGCAAAGATTGAAAAACGATGGAAAGAAACTGCATTCACTATGATTCTAACTCCGTTGTACAGTAGAATCAAAGACAATAGGTCTATCTACATATAATATCAAAGTACAGGTTATCCCTACCTTCAAATGTATTACTGAAGTAATTGTGTAACTGGGAATTACACCGTTCTACATCAGCAACTTTCATTAAACAAACTAAGGGCTTATAGTCTTGACTTGCAACGTACTATACACTCTAAGACCAGTACTGTAATGCATTTAAGCCTGTAGTTAGATTAAAGCCGTGGTTTTATTGAAGTCATTAGGACACCTAGTATGTTAAAAAATAATTGCCTGCTTTGCTGAATTCTGATTAGTGTAAGTGCCTACCAGGACCAAGCTCTATTTGTTCACTTTTATAAGAAAAGATTTAATTTCACAACTCCTGAGTGTTTATGTGTCTGTACTCCAAATGAGATTTAATAATCTTTCTTTACTCTTAAATGACTGTGTACTATGTGCGCTCGTAACACAAAGGCTCTTCCATACCTCAGGTCAGAATACAACCTAAGCGGTTTCATTGCCAGACAACTTACAACCGAAGCAACTTGGTGCAATAAGAGTTTATCTGATGCCTGGCTTGTTTTCATGACCATCTTGTCATAAATCAGACACTGGGACAGACAAATCTGTCTTACAGGCAAGGGCTGGTCACTTTGTTCATTATTAAGGCTGCTTTAATGCTTCCTGTCTTTAGAAATTTGTCATAATTTAGGCAGACATCACCCCATCAGTTTTGCACGGTATTTGCCTCAAATTTTCCAGTTCTGAAAGGGATGTAGCAATTTATTTCCCTTCCAAATAGTGTGTCAAAAATAAAATAAAATAAAATAAATATTGTGAGAAACAGCCATGAGAAAATGAGCTGTATGAAACCTTGCCCCATGGTGCTTCAGCTCAGCTGTGCTCTGGGCATGGTCGTGCCTGCCAGCCCCGCTCCCCGTGCTCCCCGGCTACAGCTGTAGCTGCTCTCAGGGTGAATCCTGAGGGCTCCTGAGGAGTTACAGACCTCAGCAGGCTTGTGAGGGCAAGCACATGCTTGTCCAAGGCTTTAAAGGGTTTTGCTTCTGACGGCCAGGATCCAGTGGACAAGGAGTCCAAAATGGTCAGTGGGGAGATGGACAGCAAAGAAAAGAGTCTGGAGCTGACAAAACACTGCCCGGCTTCCTTCGAAGTCTGCACAACTTGTGTGCCAAATGTCAGGAAATTTTCTCTGTGGAAAATTAAGGTGATATTGTCCTAGTATTTGTAGCACATTTCAGACAAACTGCAGAGACTCTTTACTCTTGCAGCTCTTGCCTGAGCACAGTCTGCTCTGCAACCTAAGCAGAGGTCTTCAAGTCCGGGGAGTGTTTACAACACCTATAAAATAGCCTTCTGTCATTTCATTAAAGGTGATTACTGTGAGCAGGAACAGCAGCAGACATGAATACAACTGCCTGGGTGCGGTAATTAGGGGACATTTTTTTGTATAAGCACAGGAAAACAATTACAGCAATCTCCATCTCATTTTTAAACACAAACAAAATTGAAGCAGTGTTGAACCCACATGAAAGTCCCTCTGAACTTCAGCTACTGGGCCTGCATAATTAATTTCCTTACATTTGTTTCTGTATTTTTAGAACAACAAATAAGAGACCATTGTTACAAGAAGACAGAATTCTGATAAGAGTATATATAATTTCTGCCATCCTTTTCTCACTGAGAAATAAGCATAAATAGCCTCACGTAAGGCTTTATTAAGCAAATGTTTGAGAATTCAAAGAACTCATCAGTTGCTTATTCAGATGTTTCAGCATCTCACTGAAAAGCTTTTAATGACACAATCACTACTCTTGTCTAGTATATCATATTGATAGATATGAAATGATAAGTATACTCCACAACTGTCTTGAATGCTTTTAAGAAGTGCTATAAATGACGTGTGATTCTTAGTGTATATTTGTTCTGTATCTTGCATTGGGTGAGAAGGAATGGAGAGTTATAAAACAGAACTAGCACATTCCTTTATAATTCACGAAAAAGGCTCGTGTCCACATTTGCAGCACACTTGTAAACAAACCTTGCTCCTGTTAAATTCAGAGAGAGGCAAAGCAGGCTGTAGAATTAGCAATTACCATCCCTCTCTTAACAGATGTGATTTCATATACATTGAAAACACTTCAGCCTGACTCCAAAGGAGGACAGTTAATTAAAACTGCCTGCCTGTGGGAGATTTTCTGTTCTCCCATTAAAATGGTTGTTTTCTTGGCAATGTCTAGCTGTCTGCCAGCCTAATTACTATGGTGTGGAACGTATTTTCAAGCACACTCAGCTTGGTAGATACAGACCTGCCTTGGAGGCCAGATCTCCAGAACGAGGCACAGAAAGCGAAAGGCAGGCTTACGTGTACTGGATGTTTGCTTGCTGGAGGTAGGGCAGCAGCCTTCGGGACGTGTTCTGTGGTACTCGCACATCGGTGACCGTACCTTCGACAATGTGGAAGGGGCTGCTGGGCTGCCACAGGTCCACCTGTAGTGCAGGAACCAACCTGTAATTCATATGCATTCAGTGCAGGTGAGGAAATCCAGGAGACGGCACGCTTCAAGCTCCAGGCATGGTATAGACAATACAGCTGTACTGGCTGGTCCAGCCTGACATCTATGCTAACAGGGCAGATTTTGAGGAATGATTGCATCCATCTTACCATAACTCTTGTGGGAGATTTGCCAGCAAGGAAGAGAGAATGACCGCAGGAACGCATCTCCTCAAACAGCTTGAAACCAAAGCGACCTCCAACTTTATGCGCCTCGTCTGACTATTCTGTACTTCCCATTCGTTAGCTCCTATGGAGTCCATGAACCTTTCTTATTTCACAAGGTATTTTCTATGTTCATTAGGGCTTTAAAAGAAAGAGTGGTAGAAAGCATAGCATGTACCAATGTTTGCAAAGTGTACCCAGGTTTTTTCTTGATAATAAGCAGATCAGAGGTCAGTAACAGCAAGTCACCAATACTACGAAGGAAGATGTGATCTGCCTGACAGTTTTATAAGAAGTGTAAAAATAACAGGCTTAAGATAATCAAATTATTACAATCTTGTAAAAAAACCCCCCTAATAAATGATACTCCAATTATTAATCTGCTATCTATATCTGCGCATACCTAAGGGATGTTTCCTGTCCATTTTTACTTTCTTTTGTTGCCAAATCTCAAAAACACTTGGAAATTTTAGCCCAGAACATGAAAAGTTTGCAAACAGGTATTTGAAACTCAGCGTTCTGCACCCTGTAGCAAATAGGTGTTGTAGTGCCCAGCCATACCAACAGATGCACATACTCTTCTGCAGAGGTGAGAACACCTCCACCTCAGCCACTGGTGAGAGGACAGTAGTGAGAACACAATAAACATCTTCCCAGAGCTGCCGGATAGTCACAGGAGACTATGGAAAGGAGTCTCTGCAACACCTTCTGCGTCAACGTGACAAATATGCATGTCAAGGTCCACAGGCCTTAAAAATATCTGTGAGCTGAATACCAAGAGGGGAGTTGAGAGGGTCTACCATGTCCCCACAGCTTTTAAAGAAAATTTAAGAAGAATTAATACTTGATAAGTATCTTTTGAAGTTTGTTGCAATCAGCTGTGCTAGGCTGCACTTAGATAGTAATGGATATCACATTGAATCACAGAATCACAGAATGTCAGGGGTTGGAAGGGACCTCGAAAGATCACCTAGTCCAGCCCCCCTGCCAGAGCAGGATCACCTACAGTAGGTCACACAGGAACGCGTCCAGGCGGGTTTTGAAAGTCTCCAGAGAAGGAGACTCCACAACCTCCCTGGGCAGCCTGTGCCAGTGCTCTGTCACCTTCACAGTGAAAAAGTTTTTTCTAATATTTTTGTGGAACCTCCTACGTTCCAGCTTGTACCCATCACCGGACATCACGGAGCCTGGCTCCGTCCTCCCGATGGATGGAGGTCACCTCTCAGCCTCCTCTTATGGCTCACGAGTGTCCCTTCCTTACTTGCTTTCCAGATTTCTAAGAAGGTTTTTATAATATATATTTTAAAGGCTCCTGACTTCTATGTCATACACACTATTTTGGAAATATCTAAAGCATGTCACCTGGTTTTGCTACCTCATTTGAGAAGAGAGTACAATCTTGCAACGGGGATTTAGTTCCTGCCATTTATCAAATGGTGCTGGGTAAGAATATTCTGATTACCAATGAGGTATCTGATGCTGAACCTGACGTTACCTCTTCAAGCTGTAGTGACTTTAGTCCAGTTAATCCAATTACATGCCTGCTACTTTGGAAGGAAGAAAACTGAAACACCAGGGCAGTCTCTCCTATTCCTGCCAAACCCACTCTTTGTTTCACGCTGCCACAATATGTCTATGGATCCATGTGAGAGTGGTGGGTGGGCGCAGCATCTTTTGAAGTCTAACACTAGGAATGGCGAAGTTCACGAGGCTTGTGAAGTTGACAGCAGCTATGACAGATGGTCAGCAGAAACCAAACTTGTGAACTAAATGGTGCTAAATGCTTCTTATAAATAAAGATCCTCTCACCTTATGTTTGTTAGTTTACCCATCTTTCATACTCTGATTAATTATAGGCATGCAGTGAAATTCCCCTCTAACTCAACATGGTTTATTTCACACATGGTTAATTAGAAATGTGCATTTGACTTTTAAGATTTATCCCTAAAAATATACATCACAGAGGGTAAATTTGTTGCTCTTGGAGTAACAGCTTATCAATCAGCTTGAGTCATCTTTACAAAAATAACAACAAATGATTATACACAGGCTAAGAGCAACTGAAGTGAGCTGTCTCCTGGCCAACTGCAATATCTAAGCTCACAAAACTGGAAATAGATGTTACAGAAATGAAAAAAAAAATCACAATTGAGATACACCTAAAACTTATCTTTGTTCTTGATAGTTACTGAGGATTAATTTTGGTGAATTTCTGCATTATCATGGAGGGGATAAACCAACAAATATTCACACTATGGGTTACAACATCTCCAAGCATTTTAATTGCTGAGGTATTCTAATTGTCCCTCACACTCCACAGGAATACCAAAAGCAGAAGTAATGTTCTTTTAACTAAGAAAATCAGTCAAAGTGCAATATTTCACCCCTGGCATTGTCCTGGAAGTGAGACAAAAAAGATCCCACTTTTAGAATGTGAATCACTCCTCTCCAGCTCAGTTACCTATCTGAGTAATTTGGTTTTATTTCACTCCTACTTCTCATCCTCTGCAATGTAAACAAAGCATTCAGTGCTCATCTGGGAGATGTCACCTGTGCTGTCCAGAGCACCACTTCAATTGCTAACTTGATTTTATTTTATAAAGCATATAATAAGAAACACATTTCTCCAACAGATATCTTATTTATATTGCAACTTTCAGCTTGCCCTTGGTGTGACATAGACACAGTCCAGGAAAACTGAAGATGGAAGTGCATGCAAGTGCATGAAAGCAGAAGACAGATTTCAGAGCAGGCATATTTGGACTGAGCAAGTCCAGCTATCCTTTATTCACTGTCAGTCTTAGAAGACTACATCACTGCATCTCCCACGGATACTGAAGGCTCCATCAGAGTCATCATTCTTCTTTCAGCATCACTCGTCTGGCAAACACGCCTTGGAGTTCCACGCTGGGCTCCGCTGGCTAGCAAGCGGTAGTTATATCAATTATTTTCCTAACCTCTTTACTCTCTGTATTGGGGTGGTGGTATCCCCACACAACACACATTGGCTGTTACAAACTACTATGGACAGTGTAACAGTTGGTGCCAAAAGCCATTTATTTGCTGTATGTGTGGTAGGATATGCTAGGGGTGTGTGTGGGAAGAAGATTCTACAGCTGCAAAACACACAGAAATCCTACAGGACCCTCTGAACACACAGACAAATATTTGAACCTCAAAATTCACCGGGTATCTTGAAGCTAGAGGAAAAGAGATTTGCTTTAGAGTATTTCTGCAAACCTAAATATTCTCATCTCTTTTGCAGAAACTGTCTCCTTTGCACATCTTTTCCTATCTGTCAGGCAGCAGGTTCCCTTTAGAGGGTCTTGGGATATTTTAAGCCTCTGGGCAAAAAGCAGAGCTCTGGCAGGATTCCTCTGCAGGCTCAGCCTTGAGACCTGGAGACCAATTACTCAGCACCTGCTGCTGCCCTCACATGTGACTCCGGGTACCTGTTAGAGGGGACAGTGGTGGCTCCGCAGATGCCCAGCAAATGCTCTTTCCCAGAATCTCACCGGAGGCATGAGCATCCTGACTTGCTTTCTCTAAGAATAAATGGTATTTAAAAGCATACAGTCAGTTCTCTTTTCCCAGAGGATTTAAGCACGTTATTACCTTATTTAACACATGAGGTATAAGAGGTTATTAATTATGACTACATAGTAAGTATTCGGTGCCCATGTGTTGCCTGATCTAGTTGAGAGGCGTCCCTGCCCATGACAGCAAGGTTGGATTAAACGATCTCTAAGGTCCCTTCCAGCCTAGGCCATTCTATGATTCTGTGATTCTTTTCTAACTGAATATTCTTTTTTCAACTTTGTTTGTCCCATAAAAGTCCCTGGGATTCAACTTGTACTTAGGAAATATAAACCCCTTTGGGTTTCCTTGCAGGCTGTTTCTCTTTAAACTGAAGTGCTGAAAACAGCTCGAGTACAAAAGCACTTACCACGACATCTTCCAAACTGAACTTAATAATAGTCATGTCTCTAGTTTTTTTGGTCAGTATGGTGATGAAAAGTCAGCACAAAGCAAAGGGTCAAAGATTTTAAAAAGATCTAGATGCTGAGCTAAGCGAATGAGAATTTCTTCCAACGTTAAAAAGGATACAAGTAATTTTCCAAGATTACAAACATTTTGCTAGTGTTATCCTACATATCACAAAACGTGTACACAAAGCTCTGTTATCCCACCAATACACAAACCGGAGCAGGGAGTTTTTTTCTTCACTAGTTCCAGGGTTTCCTCCAGTCCATTCCATGCCTATGGAAAAGGAGCTCAAGAAGAAAGGAGTCTCCTTTCTTTTCTCCAGGAACACACTCATGGCTGCATAACTCTCACAGTCTTTTTCTTTGTTCAAGTCACTGAAAGAAATCCCCAACTTCTTTAGACCACAGGGCTTAGTGTGGCTCATACTTTGTAATTAAAACCATTTTCTTGGGCAGTAGCCTCCAGTTGTTTCTCAGTACCCTTTCGTAAACAGGTGTTTAATTTCTTCTTCCATTTAGCGCTTTCATCAGGTCTGCGATCATGGATCTATCAAAAGAGATGATTGATGCTTGCCATTGAAAATAACTAGAATAACTTGGCTATAATTTAAATTTAGTACCGGGACAAAATTGTTTGTACGATTTACTTGTGTTATACCCCATGAAGACATTAATCTTGTTATGCTTTATTACCTAGCAATTCCAGGTTTTATACTTACTGAGTCATATACAGCTATGCATGTGCCAAAGCTGGCCTTGTCCTTAACACCACTATGTGCAGATTTCTTGGAGAAACACTATCAACTGTAAAGTTCAATATTTAGATGCATTTTTTACATATATATATATACACAATTATTGTAACATCAGTTGAAGTGTCTTGGCATATCTGAGCCTCTTGCAAAAGTGAATGTGCAGTCAGTAACGCAAGCAGTGATGCTCTTTGCTCACGGGATCTATCAGCATGTCATGGGCTCTTTCAGGATATACGGGTTTTCCATTTTCATCCATATGCTTATGTATAATAGACACTTAAGACCCTAACGTAAGACCCTAAGCAGTCCTGAAATTTATTGGATATGTTTTCAACCAGAAATCTGATAGTAGAAGGTAGAGAATAGAAGTAGCAGAAAAGGCTTTAGTCTCACTAATGTTGTCAGAGGTCTGACTATCAGAGGCTTTGTCAAGTAACACATAAGAAACATAAGTCACCTACATGTATGCACACAGTCACCCCTCAAATGCACATCTATAGTGTGCAACAGAATTTTAGGCTTCTGTTGGTACATTTCCAAATAGAGAATGAAGAAAGAATGACTTCTGTTAACTCTGACATTGGTGGTTAATAACAGCTGTGCTGTAGCCCACCTGGAAAGAACAGGACTGCTCTGCTCTAATGTCTTCACCCTTGCAAATATTTTCAGGATCAGGATTTTATCCTCACTTCTTCCTGCCAATTAAGGAACTTAATTGACAGTCCTGACTGCAAAGCTCCTTCAGCCGCTCTTTACGTGCAGCAAAATGGTCCCGTGGAAATTAAATGTGGGATTCCCTGTGCTTTCTAGAAGGATTTACAAGGTAGCCCTAGCTGCTGGTGCAAAGTAATTTAAGTTTCTGATTGAGCACGCTACACATTTAATTGGATCTAACTTTTCAGTATTCATTTGCTTTTCAGTGAGGCTTAGTAAGAATAATTGTGCCAATAAATCAGGATTGATTCATGGGATTGCAGCAGCCATAACAGTGGTAAGAACAGAATGCAAACAATGCACAGCTTGAAGTTCCGAGTTCTGCAGATCTTTATGGAACTGTAATGCAGTAAGGTCTTGCCACTCTACTTACCTTGGTATAATTTTGTACAGGGGTCCACACTGCAGAAGAGAACTTGTAGGCTATTTCTCAAGAGAGTCACTGAGGTAAAACTCATACACAGTTATAGGGTAATTGAATATCCATTCTTACATGTACAGGTGCTACTAGGCTAAGTATCTTTGAAAGACGTGAAACAGTCTTTTACAGATTCATTTAAAAAAACCAACCAAATCCCTATTTTGTTTCTTATTAAACTATTTATGGCTTAGTTCATTTTGTAGTTGTTGCTGCACTGCATGAAATAGTATGCCCTGGGCCTGATCCTGCTCTCACTGTGCTGATGACTTTGTTGAGCTCAGACTTGGGCTTCCTCACCAGTAAAAGAGGAAGCAGATTCTTCCCATCTCAGAAGTCCAGGCTTTCTGTGTCTTCTGAGAACAATACACTCGCTACCTAACAGGTCTTCTGCTCCATCTTGTATTTCCTACTAAAGACTTCTTGGAACAACATTTTCCTTCTGAGCCTGGCAAATGGTTTACAGATACATATTCTGATATATTGATGAATAACCTCTGTTGTCACATGATGTTTCCTGTGTTTCTGAAATAGCCTACACATACCTGACTGGAACCCTAACCATGAATTAGGGTAAAATCTAGACTGATGACTAAAGCATCTGGCTCTACAGAAGTATTTGCTGTATGTGCAAAGTAAAGCACACACAGCCCTGGCTACCAAGATAAGTCTTTCCTTCTGCAAAGTAGGAATAACTCCATTTGGGCTGAAAGGCTTTCTTACTGCATTTTCAGACAGGTTTTTGTTCTCTGAAGCCTTTTTCAGCATTTGTCTATGGAGCTGTAAATCACCAGATTTATCGCCAAGTGCTCACTTTCCCCTATGGGATATTTTTCTGATTCCCTGAACTGCACTGACAGGATCAATTCAAGGATTACAATGGATAAGCAGCTGCTGTAGGGGCCAGAAAACAAACAAAGGGGAATGGAGCTGTGGCTTCAAGACCTGCTAGGCTGGCTCCTCCCAAAGTTAAAGAAGTGCCTGGCTGTGCCCAGAAATTTCTTTTGTAAAAGCTACTGAAGAATGACTGGTCTAACCCTATTATGCCAGGAATGTTCACAGAGCAGCAGCTTCTTTGCTACCTATATAAACAGCCCTGATCTCAGTCAGGCGTATGTGATAAAAAAATGCTTGTAGACCACCGATGGAGTAGAAGTTATCAGTCAAGGCTCAAATGAAGTAGTCCTTCAAAAATAACACTTACAAAGGAAAATTCCAGAGCAGATAAACAGAATCTGCTAGCTCTGAGGACCCGAGCAAATGCTGGTTTCTTTGCAAAGCACTTTGGAATGTGACATTTGTTTCTGTCAGTCAGGTCCAAAAGAATTAAAACCGTGAAAGGGCTCATAAATCTGCAATGGTATTCTCAAATTATCTCCTAAACAAGAAGGAGCAGGAGACAACAGCCAGTCATTGGAGAGGTATATGAGGGAGAGACAACAGATAGACAGTTGTGCTACTTGGGTCACTGTGGTACTATCATTCTAAATATTTCTCTTTCATTTGTTGATTACTGTAACAATTTGCAAATTACTAATATGAAACAGTGAATCTGCAAAAAATGGCCTTTCTTGTCTTAAACACTGGTCAGGAACAAAGATTTGTACCATATCTAAAAAAGAGAGAGCATTTATAGGAGCAGAGGACTGCAGCAGAACACCTAAAATTTAAGATCAGTGCCTGTGATTGCGTTAGAGCAGCAGCCAATCCAAAAACTGCGGCAGTGACCTACTGCAAGAAAAATAATTAACTCCACGCGTTTGTACTTGAACTGCTGAAGAATTTGCTGCATTTCAGCCTATTACAACCACATGAAAATGTTCCTTAACACTGCTATGCAACACACTTGTCATTTTATAGGAAAGCTGGAGGAGAAGCTCCCCTAGCGTACTCCCCGTTCTAGCTGCTCCAGTGGTCTCTGGGACAGGGACTGTGCAAAGGTGCGGGACTGTTGAAGGTGTGGGGTGGTGCTGCTGGTAGGAAGTACAATTGCTCTTAAACTTTTCTTCCCCACAGAAAATGAAATGAAACTTGATGTAGGAACATGCTGGAGAGATACATACTCATATATGTACTGATGGCATCTCCCAGCTGCTACTCCCTTTGTCATTTTGCGAAAACCAGAAACTGGCATCTTCTGCCTTGAAAAAGAGCACGACTCTCCATTCCCCACCTGCTTCATTTCCTAGGACCTCAGACACGTACTGCCCTAAGAAACAGTCACACACACAGCACTGCACGATGGGTAAGAGCTTTCTGAGAACTTAGTCAGCAGAGATGGTGGTACCGTGGTCCTAGGGTGGGGGGCTGGCAGGGGGAGAGGTCAGGGCCAGGTCCACCTCCTGTGGCTTTGCAGGCTGAGACGGCAATCAACTGGACTCAGTACATTTAGGTTTCCTTTTGGCTTTATCACTGTGGATGAGTTTATTGGTCAAATAAATGCAAGTTTAAGCCGCCTTACAGAACTCGGAGCAGACAACTTTTAGTCTGTAGAGCTGGCCATTTCTACTGTCAGTGCAGGTCTGTATGCTGTGTTCAACCCATGAGGTAAAAAAGCTCTATTTTGCCACCTAGAAGTTGACAGAACCAGCCGATGAAGGAATCAATTTATAATCGTAATAATGATTAATAACAAAGCACTGTGGGCAATGGAGCTACAGACCAAAACTAATTTGTGGAAATTACTCAGCAAGTGATTATGACTGATGTGATTTGCCATTGGGCAATTCATGAAGCAAAAGTTAAATGTGTGGAACGAAACATTCATTATCCATTTTTCATTCATTATAGGCAATGGCATTTGTACTGTAGCAGCGTTTATACGCTTCAGGCAAGTTTTAGGGGTTTATTACACTAAACATTATATGGACATTTTTTTCTTTAAAAACAAAAAGGGTCAAATATCCCTCCTAAGGAGCTCCAGATGCTAAGTTTAGAAAGTCTGAAGGGACTACACCTTCTGTAAAAGTGTATAAGTTAACCTTGCAGCTCAGGTACTGTTTAGGATCAAAAGGTTTCCACGTGGGCTAAAGCCTCTGAGTAGTGAGCCAACTTCTTTTGGGAGGTTTGTTATTTACACTG